TACTGCTCCACTGCTCATTCCCACCTGCGTCAGTTCGCACGACCTTGGGAGCCGTGCCATGGATCCCCGTGGAACTGCCAACCAACACAAAGCCGCCGTCACTGGCCTGCCGGACAGCGCGAGCCACATCTGACTTCCTTGTACGGCTGAAGCCCGTCACTTCCGAGCTGGCATAGCTGTGTTGCCACTGCTGGTTTCCCTCTGAGTCGGCCCTTATGAGCCAGAAATCGCTGCTGGTGGGGGTGGCGCCGTCGGAGGAATGCGTCTCCCCCGCGAGAGCGAAACCGCCATCTGACGTCGTAAGCACGGAGTAAATGATATCGCTCTCCGCCCCCCCAAAGGTGCGAGACCACTGCTCGACGCCTTCTGAGTTCAGCTTTACCAGCCACCCGTCCTGGGAACCGGAGCCGTAAGTGCGGGTCTCGCCTGCAATGACGAACCCACCATCCCCGGTCAGGGCCACGGAGTGGGCAAACTCGTCCGCGTCCCCACCAAAAGTGGCGCTCCATTCTGACGAGTCCTGGGCTGACGCAATGCCGAAGCCTTGCGCGACCACACCGACGGCCAACACCAAGGCCACCAGCGCGGCCAACCATCCGCGCCCTAAGTTGCGCATCGCCGTCAAGAGCCGACCCCTTCAGAATCGGGCATTCGCTATATGTCCCTTTGAAACAGTAGATTTTTGTACGTTACAGTTGTGTTACACATTGCTCGCACGAACGGCCCGGTCAGTTGAGCCGGGCGCGGTAAATGACGGCAAGGACCGTGCTCAGCGTTCTTCCATCGTCGTTGGTGGAGACTACGTCGATAATATTGGGGCCCTCGTCCAAGTGAACCGTGCTGGAGAAATAACCAAAGCGGTCGACAGGCACGGACCTGCCATTGATGCTAACGATGGCGTTTGGGCCGGTGCGCCCTGACAATGGTAGCGAGGCAATGGAAACGATGCTCTCGTGTTCCGGCTCGGTCACCAGCAGCAGGAAGGGCAATGCCAGCGAAATTACCCTCCGAGATACTCTCGTGGCTTGGCCGGCATCGTTCTGAGCAACAACCACCACCTCATTTTCGGCTGGGGCGAGGGAGACGATGGCTCTAAAGCCGCCCTCAGCATCCACTTCCGTTTCTTCACCCGAGATGTAAATCCTGGCATCGGGTGATGTCTGACCATAGACGACGGCTTCGCTGCCGGGCACAGTAGACCCATCCTCCGGGGCATACACCAGGAGCATGAGGCCCCCCTGAAGATCAGGAGGGACGGGGATGATGGCGGGGGTGGCGGTGACGACAACCGGGCCGGGCGTAACTATCGGTGCCGGTGTGGGAACATTCGTCGGAGTTGGCGCGAACTGAGGGGTCGGTACACGAGAGGACGAAGAGTCAGGAGTCGGAGAGACAACTGGAGCTTCCGTGGGAAAGGGGGTTAAATCAGTTGTCTGTCCGGGTCTCGGTATGGGAGTAGGGCATGCCACAGACAGGAACAGCACCGCGAGGACAAGCGATGCCAAAGATATCCGGGAACCAACCCCCGTCGTCCAAGGTGTAAGGCGCGCCGGGGAAAGCCTCAACGTCCCTACTTTCACCGGCCCTTCAGCGGCATAGACAACGAGAACGACGTGTGATGCCCCTCTTGCGGTTCCGCTAACGACTCGACCTGCAGATCCCCCCCACAATGGCGGGCCAGAGTCCGCGCTATGAAAAGTCCCAGCCCAGAACTGGTCTTTTCTTCTCTGCGCCCAACCTCGGGGGTCCAACCTCTATCAAACACAAACTCCTGATAGTGGGCTGGAATACCCGGTCCGTCGTCCCAGACCTTGACATAGAAAGTGGAACTGTCCCTCGTCAGAGACACCTCCACGTGGCTGCCGGAGTGAGTGACCGCGTTGTCTATCAAGTTCGCCACGATATGTTCAATGGCGTGAGAATTGGATGAGACCATGCCAAAGTCCTGTGGTTCGGCCCACCAGCTGATTTCCCTGGCGTTTTCGAGGGCGACGGGGGTATAGCGGTCGACGATGCGCCGCACCACCTCGGCCGGTTCAACTGGAGCCATTTCAAGGGACTCGCCCGGTGCCTCTGACTGCACCAATACCTGGATGTTTGACAACATCAAGCGGTAATTGACGGCCTGGCGCTCTATTTCGTCCAACAGTTCCATTATCTCAGGATCTGCCTCTTCGCCCGACGCCCTAAGAGCTGCCCGCAACTCCCGCTGCCTGCCCGTGATGCGGCGGAGGGGACGGCCCAGGTCGTGGTCGAATTCGTTGAAGAAGTCCATGGTGACTTCGCGCCAGTGATCTGTTTGTTCCTCGCCAGACCTCTCCCTTCCATCTCGCTCTGCGGCAGCCTGCGCCGCCTGTCTCATTGCTGTTAAGGCCAGTCCCAAGGCGGCCCCAGCCAAGCCTATGATGAGCAGAATCGCTCCGATGTATCCCAGGGGTTCCACTCCCCAGAGGCTGTCGAATGCGGCGGGTCCGACGACGGGGGAAAGGATGATACAGATGACTCAAGCAGCTGCGACCAGCACAGCACACGCCAGCGCCATCACCAGCCCCCTGGGGAGGCGCATGCTCATTGGCCGATTCAGAAGCAGCTGGGTCATCCTGGTCGTTCCCCGTCGCCAGACTCTACGCCTGGGGCGGAGTCAGACGGTAGCCCTTGTCTCGAACATTGATAATAAGCTCGCCTGACCCAAACCTCACGCCCAGGGCCCTGCCAAGCGAGTCCTTGATTTCCCGGATTCGCACCCGGAGGGAGGCCCGTGGATCCTCACCCTCGGAAAATCGTTCCAGATGTGAGAACGGCACCAGTTCGCCCGGGCTACGGTGCCAAGTGGCGGCCAGTTCGCGGAGAATCTCGAACTTCATTCCCTGGATGTCGTTAACCGTTCGGTTTCCTGACACATCGTCCACATAGACCATCTGCGAGTTCAGGTCCAGGACGATCCCGCTACCAATGGCGATGCGTACAGCGGAGGCGCCCATGAGGCGCCTGAGGCGGAGCACCACCTCATCAGTGCCGGCAAGCTTGTCTATGAAGTCCACGGGAGCGTCCCACTTGAGAGTTCCCCTCACGGCCGTTTCGCGTTCGGGACCCTGGGCGTACTGAGTGAAGATCAGGACCGGCAGCCTCGGCCAGCGGTTGACGATCTGCCCCAAAATCTCCAAGCCCTTAAACCGGTCGTCACGATGATCGCCGAAGCGCACATCAAGGAGCACGGCGTCTGGTCGCAGTTCCTCGATTTCCCAAAGGGCCGCTGCCTCGAACTCCTCACCAAGTGACCCTCCTGGCGCCGGCTGCACAATCGCGGTACACCAGCCCTCCTCCTCCAGCCTGCGCCGTACCGTTCGCAAAATGGATGAATCAGCCTCGTCATCGACGATCATTATTTTCTGTGTAGAGCGGTTCACTATCATTCGCCACATCATCCCACCAAGGGTCAACCTGTTCCATTTTACCAAACACTACTGTTCATAATGTGTGACCCTTAGTACCCAGTCCCGGAAATTTGGTTGACAAGGTCTGTGTCCTCCCTACAATTGGCCTCGAGGCGAGATGGACTCGCGTTTCATTTGCCCACTTTCGAATACAGTCGCTGCTGATTCGAATTCATCCCGACACCAAAAGGAGGAACACGATGATAACCAAATTCGGCAGCCTTTTCGCCGGACATGTAGACCTCGACAACATCGGTCTGGACGGGACACCGGTCAATGACCGCTGGCTCCCCGATGATCAACTGGCCGGGGTGTTCGACAAGACAGAGGCCATTGTGCTCAAGATGGAGGAGATGGGCTACGACACCTTCTGGTCGGCGGAGCACCACTTTCAACGTGAAGGGTACGAGTGCATCCCCAATCTTCTGCTGATATACGTGCACCTGGCACACCTGACCAAGAACCTCAAGTTCGGCTGCGGTTTCAACATCAACCCGATGTGGCACCCGTTGCGACTGGCAGAGGACTACGCAACTGCTGACATCCTAACAGGCGGGCGAGTAATTTTCGGGGTCGGACGGGGCTACCATTCGAGGGAGGTGGACACGTTCGGAGTGCCCAGCACCCTCAGTGATAACGAAGCCAACCGTGAGATGTTCGAGGAACAGGTCGAGATCATCATGAAGGCCTTCAACGAGGAGTCCTTCTCCTACGAGGGCAAGTTCTACAAGATTCCTCCCGAAGTGCCCTATCGAGGCTATACCCTGAAAGAGATCACCCTGGTGCCGCGGCCCCGCACGCTTCCTGTCGAGACCTGGCAGCCGATGGTGAGTGCCAGCCAGAGGGCGATGGACTTTATGGCGAAGCACAAAATTAAGGGAATTATCGGCGGAGGCGCCGCTGCCGGTGGCGCGGCAGAGGGCGTGATGCGGCAGTGGCGCGACACCTTGGCCGCACACGGGCGAGAAGCGGAACTGGGAGAAGACCTGGCAATCGGTTACACGATTCACATTGCTGAGACCGAAGAGAAGGCAGTGCGAGAAGCCCGCGGCTTCTTCGAGGAGAACATGAAGATGTTCGCCCCCCTGGGGTTCGTCCGCGGCCTGTCCGACGACCAGATCAGGGCGATGGAAGACCCGCGGCGCGCCCGTTCCGCAGGCCTGCCGACCCTGGAGGACGGGATCAAGGCCGGTTCGTGGCTATGCGGGCCGCCCGAAATGGTGGCCGAGAAGCTTGAGGCCGTTCAGGGTGCGTATCCTGGTCTTGACCAGATCAACGTCGGCTCGGTAATTGGGACGCCACAGAATGTAATTCTTGAACAGCTCGAAGCCTTCGGCAGGGATGTGATGCCGAAGTTCAAGGCTCAAGCCGATTGATGCCGAATTTCCGTTGTGAACGCGCCGGCCGTGGAGATTGTGATGCCGACGCGCTCATTTCTCTATCAACCTGTTTCTCTTTGAGGTGGCGCCTATGACGCAACAGCTGACCGAGGCCGAATTGCTGGACATGGCCCGCAAGTTCAGCTTCCGCAGCCGCATAGACAAGAACGTGGTGACCGGTCCCATCATGGTCTGGGGGCGCGGCTCGGTGGTTCGCGACGTCAATGGCAAGGAGTACCTGGACTTCAACTCAGGCCAAATGTGCGCGGCCTTGGGACACAACAACCCACGCATCGTTCAGGCGCTTCACGAGAGCGGCGAAACGCTCATTCACAGCCACATGAGCATGTTCAACGACCAGGAGATCATTCTTGCGGCGCGGCTAGCCGAGATTGCTCCGGAGGGTATGAACCGCTCAATGTTCCTAACGTCGGGCAGCGATTCCAACGAGGCCGCCATGGCCATCGCCAAGCGCTACACTGGTGGCTACGAGATTGCCAGCCCGGCAGTCAGCTTCCACGGAATGAACGACTCCACACGGGCCGTGACTTTCTCAGGGTGGCACGAGGGATACGGTCCCTACGCGCCGGGCAATTACCCGATAATCGCCCCATATCGCTACCGGTGCCGCTTCTGCCAGGACCGCCCTGCCTGCGATTACTCGTGCCTTGACACCAGCTTCGAGCTCCTGGATGCCCAGGCAGACGGGCCGCTTGCGGCAGTGATCACGGAGCCGCTGTTCAGCGCTGGCGGTGTCATAGACCTGCCGGCCGGCTGGCTGGCGGAGTTAAAGCGCCGGTGCGAAGCCAGAGGGGCATTGCTGATCGTGGACGAGGCCCAGACCGGTCTCGCCAAGTTGGGAACGATGTGGGCCTTCGAGCACGAAGGGGTGGTTCCGGACATCTTTACCATCTCCAAGCACTTCGGCGGTGGGGTGGCTATCAGCCTCGCGGCCATCACCACCGACGAGATTGAGGAGAAAGCCTCCGAAACGGGCTTGGTGGTCGGCCACTCCCATTCGAACGACCCATTGCCCTGCCATGCGGCAATCGCAAGCATCGACATCATCCTCGAGGAGATGCTGACCGACGTAGCCCAGCGCATAGGGGCCTACTGGCGGGAGCACCTTGAGAGGCTGGCATCGCGCCACGAGATCATCGGCGACATTAGGGGACGGGGACTGTTGCAGGGAATCGAACTAGTTTCAGACCGAGTTACCCGAGAGCCGGCCTATGCACGGGGTCGGGAGATAGGACGTCATTGCTGGAGAACGGGTTGATCATGAGCTTGCGCTGCGGAGGGTCCGTGTTTCGCTTCGTCCCACCCTTTACCACGACCGAGGCGCAGATGGACGAAGCGGCGGAGATCCTGGATGATGCAATGAGCAGGACGGGGCTAGACGGTCTCGAAAGAGCGGAAGTCAGCAAGGAAACACTGCATCTATAACACTGATGCGCCCTCACCGTGTCGGTGAGGGCGCTGCCGTACGTAGTGGAATAGCTTAGTGAACCCTGGTCGGCTCCTCGTCCCAAGGGCCAGGAAGGCGGCCCTTTGCCGTTGCGCCGATCATGTATTCGCCTTCTTGGTGGCCCCAATCCTCGCGGGGCATCTCGTACGAGACCTCGATGCAATTTCCGTCTGGGTCGCGGATGTAGATACCAACCGCGTGCCCGTGATCCGACACGGACTCGATCGCGATGTCTCTTTCCTTGATGCGATGGTAGAGTTCTTTCAGGTCATCCAGGTTTTCCATGTACCAGGCCATGTGGTTCAGACCAACCTGCCCCTTCTGGGGGCCCGGTGCGTCTTCGCCGACTTCCACCAATGCAATTTCATGGGAGTTGCCCAAGTCGGCGGTCATGAAAGCGGCGCGTCCGGCTCTCATGCCATAGGTGTGCAGCCCCAGAAGATCCTCATACCACTGGCGAGAGCGCTCCGCGCTGCGGACATAGATGTGATGTGCCCCAACTCTCTTGGCTTGTAGCCCAATGACTCCCATCCTGTTCGAATGTGATTTGCACGTGAGACGCCATAATATCAGTAAACGCATATAAGTAATGAAGGACACTTAATCGGATTGCCTTGCAACAGTTTGAATTATCACCGAAACACTACAACCAAATCCCTGATAATATGGGCTCAGACACCAAACCAAGCGGAGGTGGAGGCATGGTCAGACTGGGAGGCACAGCAACGATTCCCCACCTTGAGGTGTTCCAGGGACTGGAAACCTTGTTCCGGCCGTGGCATGAAATGGACTGGGTACTGTATTCGGACTACGACGTAATGATTGACGCGTTTGTGGCCGGAGAAATCGACCTCGCGTGGAACGGGCCACTGGGTTACGTGAAGATCAAAAGGCTGCTTGACGAACCCTGCCGGGTTATAGCGATGCGCGATGTAGACATCGGCTTCACCACCCACTTTATCGCCCGCACCGGTTCCGGGATCGAAACGGTGGAAGATCTGAAGGGAAGGAAGTTCGCTTTCGGGCGGCGGAGCTCGGAGCAAGCCGGACTGGTCCCACACTACCTGCTGAAAGAGGCTGGCATCCATCCTGGTAAAGACCTGTCTGTGGCCAGCTTCTTCGAGGACCGGGCGTCGCAAACGCGCTCAGACGAGCGCGACGTGGTAGAGCGAGTGGCTCCGTGTGTGAGTTCGAGCGGGACTCTTCCTGAGATTCCCCTGGCGGCTCAGCCCGCGGACCAGGAGGGCTATGGCCGAAGACAGCAGCCTGCCCCGCGATCAGGTCCGATCTCTACTCCATCCGCCCGCTCTACACGTCACTGCGTGTCTTACGGCGCAACGGGAAGTGAGCCTCGCTAGCCACAGGATGATAGACAGACGAGCGTCGCTTCCTTTCGGTTATCGGCTCGGACTCAGTGGAAGAGGCGGTCCTGAAAGGGAAGCATTTTGTGGTGTCACATGTCATTCCGGAATGATACGGGTTGGGAACTGATCGAAGCCGCTGCCGTGGCGGAGGGTCTGGTGTAGGCGCCGAGCTAAGTAGTACCGATGTCGTTGCTGAGTTACGCAGCGATATCCTTCCAGCTATGGCGAGCTCGGGACCAACTCACCACGCGTATGCTTCGAAAGGTAGTAGTATAGTTGAAGGTCCGTCGCGGCGCGGTGAGGGGTTTCGAATAAGACTCCTTGGTGGTGGGGTTGGTGATCCAGATATTTTACAGGGTTGGGCGGCGCTCGGGAAGCCCACTCTCGCGTTCATGCGGTGGCATTCGTCTCGTGTCTCTGCGCCGTTAGATTCGCTGGTTGCCGTTCGTTAAAATCGCTCTCGGTGTTCCTTTTGTTGGGGATGGAACTTTTTTGTTTCTCAGCTGTGGTTTGTTTTGTGTTGTTTTGTTTTGGTCTAGCAATCCGCGATTCTGCACGCACCAGTGATCTTAGTTCAGAAAGGTCGAAGTCCAGACTGAAAACAGAGTTGATCTCCGCATAATGTCGTAGAAAGAGCGGTGATCTCGGCTGATGCCCACAGGATCATTGCTGGAGGTCAAGAAAGGGTACATAGGTGCCATGGCCCCGAGCCGGAACATCTCTACTTCAGGGTGTTGGAAGTGGGCCACCGTGATCAGGGCCATACCAATTGTTGGCCCGTTGCGGCTCTGTGTCCCGTAATTGGAGAAACGTACACCCAGCTTTTCCATGGCGGGCCGCATGCTGGCCTGGCTGTAGATGCAACTGACGCTTCGCTCCATATCCGGCGGCGCGGCGCGTTGAGTTTAGCCTTACCACAGCAACCGTGCGTGAGACAGGAAACCCAGCATGGTTTCACTGCCTGAAGAACGGCCTCTTGCGTAAACATCAAGACGAAACCAAGGCGCATCACCCAGACTATGATGAGCTCAGTGTCCACCGTCATGAGCAGCATCTGTGAATTATTCTCGCGCCGCATTTCCGTGTCAGGAAGGCCATCGCGATAGGCCACCCGAGGCCGATAGGTGTCGTGGGTCCCCGGTACCTGGAACGGATAGGATAGCTTGGCGATTTCCGGCCCCATTGAGCCGATGCGCCGAGCCTGCAATTTCTCGATCATGTAGCGAGGCAGGCCACTGGAGATTTCCCCGCCGTCCGACCATTGGCGACGCCAGCCAGCGATGAGGCAGCGGGCGTCGGGGGTGGACTGCAGGTCAAGCAGTTCGTCAGCCATCGGCCAACACTCCTTTCGCCAACTTAAAGGCGTTATATTATGTATTGTGCCAGACGGCAGGCACCAGCGCAAATTTGGATCAGGCCTTGGGCTGCATTCATATCACCGAGTTACTCTATATTCCTTGACAGTGCCGGATGTCATTCTTGTAAGATAACAAAAGGCCGGATCGATCCGGCAGATGGCGTGTATCAGAGTCCCAGTAGCTCAGAGGATAGAGCGGCTGCCTTCTAAGCAGCGGGTCGCGGGTTCGAATCCTGCCTGGGACGCCACAACAGTTCTTCTAACTACCGTCAAGGTAATTGGCAACTCGGTTACCACAATTTGTAGCAGCTCGAGTTGCCGTTCGCTCCTCCCTCTGTGGCTTGGCCGATGGTGCTGGTCCCAGCAGAGCCAATGGGTGACCCAAGGCCGTGTCACTCCTGCTGGTTCACGGCCATCCGTCCACTCTTCCTTTGACCTGAAGAGAAAGATCAAATATCCGTTGAATGCCCAGTTCCCGTATCAACTTGGCAAACCGGATGGACTTGGCAAGCACCGCCCTGGCGGTAATTGCATTGAAAACATGT